CGATCTTTCACTCCCAGAGTGAATAAAATTCACTTTTTTTCTTTTCTTGTTGTTGTAATTTTATTTTTGGGTTGACTCTGGAGACATGAATTATGGGCATGTGTTACATATATTTTAATGGATTTTCACATAAAGTCATGTAATTGTATCTGCTTTTCGTAAATATATATTTTTTTTTTCAAGTCAACTAAATCATTTAACTTAAATTATGATTGAAATAAGGTTTAGAATAATCTGAAACCTGTTTTATATAAGTTAAGCTTTTGGAATTCTTTATACAATAGAAGAGTTCTTAAATCTTCTGTAATTAGAAGAAAGAAAAAAACGTTTAAGTTAATTATAAATTTCATTTAACTTTAGTTTCAAACCATATTAGTAGCTTCTTATCAAGTGATCCAAGTTCTTTGTACAACGAAAACAAACTTACATAATAGTTCTTTGGTCTAATTACAAAAAAAAATCAGAAAATGTTAGAATGATGACAGATTTAAATAAATGTTTATTGCACAATCTATAAGAATTAATGAGCGTAATTTTTGTTTACCGATTAAATATTTGTAGGAAAAAACGATTAACCGGTAAATTTGTTATATAAACGAAAGTTGTAACATCTTTAGACTATAGTTTTTGTAATTGCAGATGCTACCAATGTGTCACACTGCTTAAGTTTATCTTATAGAGTTAAATTTACAATTCCCATTAAAATAACAGTAATTATTAAGTAAATAATATGTGTTTTCATACCATATTTTATAATTTAAAAATATATTTACATTATTCTCGGCATTCTAACTACCCTTTCGTATTCCATTTAATAAATAATGAAATTTTATTGTTATTATATTACAATTGGTTTTATTTAAGTTTTAGTTGAAATATTTACATCTGCAAAGATAAGAAACACCTGAGTTTTATTAAACACCTGGATTTTAATTGAACACCTGCTATAAGAAACACCTGCGTTTTTATTGAACACCTGCTATTAGAAACACATGCGCATTTATTGGACACCTACGTTTAACTGAATACCTATATGAACACCAGCGTTTAATTGAACACCTGTATGAACACCTGCGATAAGAAAGACCTGCGTTTTTATTGAACACCTGCGTTTAATTGAACACCTACGTGAACACCTGTGTTTAATTGAACACCTGCATGAACACCAGCATTAAGAAACACCTACGTTTAATTGAGCACACGCATAAACACCAGCGTTTAATTGAACACCTGGGTGAACATCTTCGTTTTTATTGAACACCTGTGATAAGAAACACCTGCGTGAACATCTGTTCATCTATATGCATATCTAATAGGCTGTTCTATGTCTTTTTGTTAACTAAAATATAAAATATTTCGTTCATAAAATCATTTTTGGCGTACTATTAAACATCTTCATGTGCAACATCACTTTAAATTTCCGAGTTTTTCTTTTATCAAAATTTACCACTAATTTCATTGGCCGAGAAAAACCGGTTAACCGATTACCGGTAATGAAACCATTTGAATTTCAAGAATTGATCATTAAAGTAATCTTAGATATGAGTTACTGGAAGAGATACAAATTATATAAATTCTGTTAGAAATGTGTAGAATATTCATCAGTATTCATTAGTAGACTAAATATGAGACGTATTGTTTTCATTATGATTACTCTAGTGACTAAATATGATCGTTTTCCACAAAAAATAAATAAATTATAATTTATTGTACGATTAATATTTTTATTAATAATTTTTGAGTAAAAATCTTTGATTTTAATGAACACTTTTATCTTATCCAAATTTAAATTGTAAAGTTCTAAAATAAGAGCGTGAAAATTTACAGAAAATATAATAAGTGCATTTCCTTTGAAGCAGTATTTTTAACACTGTTCCAGTTTCGGCTCATCATACAATTTTTTTTGAGTAAATTAGTGTACGTTATAATTAGAAAATCGAAATTTCGTGCGTGATGGCTGTTGGATATTCAGTCGAACGTAATTGTGAGATAATTGATCGTCGATTGGAGCCTAATACGGAGCGATAGAGATAATTAGATTTTCGCCGGATGCGAAAGTTCGTTTACCTTACCTCATTTAATCTATACAGATAATTGATAACAGATTTTACTACAATTCATTGCTACAAAGTAATTGTTTATTGACTGAATGTGTGTAATTATCATAATATGATAATTGATTTCAATTGAAAGCAATTGCAGACACTTATCAAGTGTAAATTGCAGATAATAATAATTAATAAATAAAGATTGTTTATATTATTAATTGATGATTAAAACAATCTTTGAAATAATCAATTATATGAAATGAAATATTGTTTAGGTATTGTTAATTGGTGTAGAGTAGTGATGCAATAGTGTGTTATTTTGAGCGTAATAAGCAATAAGTGAGAATATAGAAAACTCGAGAAGAAACGTGATTATGTTGGATAACAGCTCGGTAGTAATAAGAAATTGGATGGATCGAGGACCAATTTGCCGTCCTTCTAAGAAGGAAAGAAAAAAAATGCACGAAGAAGATGTGTCTCCAGGTTGTTCACCCGTTGCAAGAGTCAAATTGTCTTAATTACCACATCGGCATTAAAACTGCGAAGATCCTATTTTCAGTATTCGAGCACGAAAATCAAGTGTGTGAATAAAAAAAGAAGTAGAGTTTTGATTAGAGAAACAAAAAAAAACAAAATCGTACCCCCATGCTGACACGCAGCATCTGCTGCTAATTAATGGAACCATTGGTGCGTTGTCCAAAACTCCCTCTCCCTCACCCGAAAAGCGCTACAAATGTCAATTTAATTAATATCGATGGGGGACATCCGTCTTGTTCGTCCCTTCTCCTCTTCGTTCCATGTTTGGCTACGCTTTTATTTTTCCAACCCCGAAACTAAATTGGAAATGATTATTTAAGCAGGGAATTATGTAATAAACGTTATTGCTCAATTAGTCGGGGCCGTTGCATTTAACTCAGTTTCGTTTCATTTTACTTTGTTTTTCAATTCTTGTTTGATTCCAACAGTCTTTTTAGCATATTGCGAAAGTTGAGATGTTGCAGTTCGGAAAGCGCTGTTCCAGGTGCTGCTGCTGCTGCGAGAGTTCCGCTAAATTACGAAAAGTTATGCGACCGGAATAATTATTACGAAATGAAAAGAAGAAAGTGATGGCATTGAATTGAAACTTCCACTCTGATTATTTCAATGCGTTTAATGAACGTATTCAATTCATTACTAATCCCAATATTTGCAACAATTACATTAATCATTTGTAATGTATTCTTGATAACATTCAAGTTTTAGTTTTGTTTCTATAAATAATCTAATGCAACTGAGTTTTTAAGGTAACTAACACCAAAAGTAACTTCTTAACTTGCAATTTTGGTTATATTAAAAATCTTATTAACTTGCACAGCATATTGAGTATAGTTAAACATGAAGACATGAATACGTGCATTTAGGAAATGTTTGAAATTTGATTGAAAATATTCATTGTATAAATCAATTGTTTTATGTCTTCAATGAAACACGATTCAAAATATACGTTGTAGTGAAGAACAATAGAACCTAATTCTATTATCCGAGTTTTAGTTTTCGTTGTATAAGATTGAAACATTATTGAAATGATTTGTTGGATGATGAGAATCAATAGACACTTTACTGTTAAGATTTGAGAGATGTTCTTTTTTTTTATTTGTTGGTTTGTGGGCGTAAATAAGAAATTGCTTTTTGTCACAAATCACGGGGCGGGAAAGAAACGATTTATTCGGAGCGGACGTTGGAAGAACAAAGAGAGGTCAACTGGTATTAACCGCCCTGAGAGTGAAAAGACATTGTTCATGATGTACAATTCATGCTGATTGATGGTAGGAGTGGTCGCATTTACAGCTCGGATAGAAATATTCAAGATTCGAATTCTTCATAAATTTCAAATAAAAATATTATTAAGATTCCTAACGTAAATCTTAGAATTATATTGTTTTGTAATATAAGTGTACGAGTATTAATATTCAAATATTTAGCTTGTTGCTATAAATTTTAACTAAATTTAATTAAGGTATTAAATATAATTATTTTATTATGTTAAAGTTTCATGATTATCAATTTATTAGAAACTTTAAAATAATTTGATATTTCACGAATTTTCAAGTTTATGTAAATTTAAATCATATTAAGATACAAAAAATATTTAATATCATTTCTTGCCTTATGATATAATACATTTCTTATTATCATTGCATTATAATATAGAGAATTAATCAGTTTAGTTTTCAATTTTTACAAAAATTAATTATTATAATGGAAAAAGTCCAATTAATAAAAGAATAATTAAATATTGGATTGTTCATTAAATAATCATAAATATTAGAACTGCGTCATTTTTTAGTGATATTTCATAGCTATTCGTTTTCGTTTGATATTATGTATATGAAATCATTGTATAATGATTTCTTTGTAATAACTAAAAAAATCATGAATGTTTAAACAAAACTATGGTGTGAGTAATGCGAAATTCCGCGAAACCGATTAAATAAAATACACGATACACGCGAATCCGTCTAGTGTAATAAGCAACAACTTACGTTCGATCGGCACTCTGCACACGGGTTTCACTATGTTTTTTTTGTTGTTGCTGTATTATTTAGCATCCGGTATTCACAGGTATTTCTTTGTTTGTTTTAGTATGAATTACATATCGAACTGATCTACAGCATCGTACCATGCTCGAGATTAGACCCCACTCCTTTGATGACATACTTCGAGTATTGATAAGATGGGATTGCTGATCGGCAGATTATTGTAAATAAATGCTTGGAAGACTTTGCCGAGGGAATTCTTTTCGATTCCTTTTAAAGCTTCAAGGCTGCCGGATGAAATTGTTTAAAGGAATTCGTAAGAGTGAATTAAGCGGATGGGGGGCTACGCAGTGTGAGAGAGATGAAAGCCGGTTTTGTATCTGTCGAATTCCCTTTTGGTATTTTTGTGTTGCAGTTAGGTGCAACAAGTACTTACGTAGCACATGTCTCCGCCGATTGAGTAGATTCCTGGGTTGTTGCTGTACATGGCGATGAAGAGGTCCTCGGTGATGGTGAGTTCACATGGAAGGATACACCAGCAGCAGCAGCAGCAGTAGACCGGTAGCTTCACTGAACAAATATTAACAAAGAGGTTGGAAAGATACGCGCCGTTGGTTTTTGAGTGCGAGTCGGACAGGTAGAACCAGGTGGTATGAGTCGGTTTCGACCTCGGAACAACACTGACGCATACTTTCGAAAGCGAATGATATGCGTTCGGAATGGTCGACGAATGTGGTGGTATGGAATGGAAGGAAGGTATTATGCTTCTTCTCTTCAGGGGGGACCGACGGGCGAGGAGGGATCGTATTGTCCGATGCGCTCAAGTTCAAGATGTCAACTGACTTCGAAGCCCTCTGGAGCGAAGCTCCTATTGCGTTAATTAAGACAACACTCGTACTACAAACGCACACCCAAATGCACATGATGCATGTCTCTCTGTCTACTACTTCACTATCTAACACTATCTGCCACTATCCTAGATAACAGCACTTTTCCAACGCGATCTTATTATTTATTGAATTCTTCTTCTTTCATTTTATTTTGCGCACGAAAGTCTTTACTTTTGTCGCGATAAACGTCCTATCAAACTGCAAACACCAACAGCATTGCTTTATCAAAAAAAAAAAATGTAATCAGAATAAAAAACACTTTCTGGAAATCCATACTCAAATTTAACAACAATTATATAATTATATTAAAGTAAAATTATCCCTCGTTTTACACAGTAGATAGTATCTTGAGAAAAACGCGTAAATCTATTAATTTTAACATTTATTTATTAAATTTATTTTTTTTAAACGGTGTAAATAATATACCGTGTAAAACGAGTGTAATAATTTACAACAATTTTATAATTTAATTTAAGAATTTTGAAAGTTTACTCAAACTGTTGATTCATTAATATAAATAAAAATATAAGTATAATATTAATAAACTTATAATAAAAATTTATTATTTGTATATCTTATAGAAAAAAATACGTGAATGGAAATATAATGCAGTCTGTTATTAATGATAATGAACCTGTTAGGAAATAGAGAAAAATAATGTCGTTCTCTTGTTTACAAACAAATTCGACAGAACTTCCAAGTGCTAACAAAATGTAGATAAATCCGTTGGCAAGTGTAAACATTGAAATACGCGATAACCAAACACAAAACAATAATAAAGCAAAAATTAATTAAAAAGAAAGTTTGTTATTCTTTTAATCTTGTAAACTGAAAAATTACGCTTTTATTTTATTAAACAAATATTTTTGTTTGTGTTTAGTCGCTCGACTTCAATTAAATCGCAAGAGAAATCATTGCTTAACTTTTGAAAATGTCCTGGTCATCTGATGTTTCTCACCTATTTAATCCGAATTAAAAAAAAACTTTTTTGAGAAATTCATGCTCAAAATCAACAACAAACTATATTCTAATATTATATTATTTAACTATTTCTTACCTGAACAACGTTAAAATAAAAGAAAAAAATTTCTTTGCATTTATTTCAATACACATTGCCTATACATTTTTGTTAAATTTCAGCAATATTTTCAATGAAAAAAAAAGTGGTACTTTTTGGTAATCAGGTAATTTTAAGCTTAAATCGTAGAATAAGTGAATTATAGTGATTTAGATTACAAAAACGGATCAATTTTCATATATATATTTAGTAACAATATTATTTTATAAACTTATTTCGTGGTATTCTGTTATACAATTTTTCTTTTTGTTACAACATCAAAAAAAAAACTTATACAGATGTGACAAGCATTACTTGAATGTAGTTTTATATTTATTTGGTGTTTCCAATTACAGAAGAAATTAGTTTTGTGTACAATCTAAAGATTACATAAGTATTTAGGTCTGTTTTACGTCTCTTTATAATATAAAAAGTGATATATAAGTACCGTCAGACGAGAAAGGGATAAAACAACTTTACAATTTAATGTAATAACTTTGAAAGTTTGATTGTCTTTAGTTGTTCGACTTGAAGTTCAAGTAACCAATCGTAAGAGAACCCGTAGCTAAACCTTTGCAAAGTTCTTGAATATCTGACGTTTCTCAGTAAATTATTTGACAAGTACAAAAAGGTAAATGGCGTTTACTTACCTTTTCGTCCAATGTTGTAAATGCGCCGATTTTTGTCGGAATTTCTTCTGCGTCTCAGACATCCTCCATTACTAAATAATAAATAACTTTACTACCTGGTCGAAAACTGTAAGAGTTCATCCATGCAACCGCATCACTTGACAATTCTCAAGTGCACTGTCAGATACATTTTGTTTCCAAGGAGTACCTGTTTTTCTTTTTTTTTTGCAAAGAAGTTTTTCTTATTTTTTATCTGTTCACTTTCTTTAATATTCACTAAGCCGTCATTTAATTTTAAACACTTCAAGGTTAAAATATATTGTTTGATTATATTGAATTTTATGATTGCAGTTTTGCAATGTTTCAGGAAATGTAAACCGTAAAATCGTCAGATCCTGTTTTCGTGGTAGATTAAATTTTATTGTAATTATATTAGATTTTATCCATTTGATTTTCTAAATTGTTGCAAAATGAAATTGTTTTGTTTCCAAGGAGTACCTGATTTTTTTCTCTCAGAAAATCAGTTTTTTTCATAATTTATTTCGTAACTTGATATATTGTCAAATGTCAAAAGCTTCTTTGATTGGAGTAATTTTAATTTGGTATTGTAAAATTATTTTAACAAAAAGAATTCGCATTTTTAATCCATAAATAACTTATATTTATCTGAGGTCATGCTAAAAATACACGTGTTTAATATTCTTCGTGCGTAAACGTGATGGAAACATTTTAATATTTATTTCTATGACGAAAGTATGAAAAAAAAAACGCTTCCTAGATTTTGTGCTGTTTTTAATCAATTATGTGCAAATATGATTTCATATTGATTTGTGATTGTTTTCTAGCAAATTTTATTGTTATATTTGAACTTAAATTAATATAAAAATCGTATTTTAATTCGTAATTCTAAATAAATAAATTTCAAATACTTTAATCTTCATTTAAAATATTTGTTAAACAATTAAGCAAATCAAATATGCTTATTAAGTTAGAACCTAAAATAATCTTTCCATTAGGAATTTAAATTTGCAATATCGTTAAGATTCTTTTCGAGTTAGTATAAAAAAACGGAGGGTTTTCTAAGAAAAAAAAATCAGGTGGTTTCGATTTTACTGTTACGGAGAGTATACCTCCTCCGGTGTTAAATTCTTAAGGTTTCTGCATTTGCGAATCTCCAAAAGGAATGAATGGATTTACCGGTGATGCAGCAAGGAGAGTCTTGTCCTCCAGGTATAAAGAATGATTTTTTGAGGAACCCGTTTGGCGATGGCGCGTAACACCGAAGGATAACGCCACCGGTTTTGGAGAAGAATGCGCCTCGTCTGGAATGCGAGAATTCGCCATTCACACACCACTGTGTACGACGTGTATGCACGGTCCGTGGCATCTCAGGAATCCCGATGCACGCGAGAAACGAATCGCAAATACTGACTGACTGCGGTAACCGACGAAGAAATTCAGTTTCGCAAACATTCAGATTGGATGTGTCATCGAACGCGATGTCTGAATCTTGATGATGTTTAAAAAAAAACAACATACTCACGACTTTGATGATTTTAAGAAAAAAATACGACTTTGATAATTGTTTTTAAAGATATTCTTCAATTGCCGAATTGTTGACTTTTGACTTACGCTATCGACTTTATTTATACAACTACAATAATCGTCGAGTGAGCAAAACAAACAAATCCGAAAATTTATTTTACTCTTAATTAATTACACAAATTTCGTTCATTTCCGAGAAAGACTTCAATATTTAAAGATTACGTCAAGTAAACATTAAAAAAACGTAGCAAGTTGTACGGATTGGTGTTAAAAAGCGAGTTGCACTTTGAAGTGTGTTTGGATGCGAAGAAAAACACTTTGTTTTGATTTTGAACAGTCTCGCATACAAGATAAGCTTTTTCACTTTAAAAAGTAAACATTCTGCTTTACTTGAATAATCTAGAACATTCTTAATTCATTTAGTGTATTATAATTAATGTTACAAAACATAAAAACAAATCGTATCGAAATCCCGACAACCATAATCCCGACTGTATCAAAATCACGACTATATCGAAAATGTCTACAAAACATTTTTAAATTATTCCGGACTTTTAAATTGTTATTAATTATAGTAATAACAATTTAATAATTAATAATCTAATTGCGTTTGAGATTATTTCATAATGTTAAGGTTTATTATGAATAATTCAACAAAATCAAATAAATTAATAATAATTTATTGTTATTAATAATAAAAGTGTAGCACAAGGTGACTACGCTCCGAAATAATTTAAAATTGTTATTGTAAAATTTTTCGATATAGTCGGGATTTTGATATAGTCACCCTCTATTCGTTCAATTGTTAATTTTGTCATTATTCTATAACTTTTTCAAAGTTAATGTGAATTAGTAAAAAAAAAATATTATTTTGACAAATAAATAAATATTCTCATAACGTGATTTCAAGTTTAAAATCATTATTTTTCTGCAATTACACAAATTAATATAAAATTGAAAAACCAACAATTTCATATTTTTTCATATTTAAAAACTAAATTGAAAAATAACCTATCCCTCGTTTTACACGGTACTTTATATACATATTTTTTTCTTTTACACGATTTAAACAACAAGTAAATTAATAAATAAATGTTAAAAATAATCGATTTACACGTTTTCTCAGGAATCTACCGTATAAAACGAGGGACCGGTGTATAATCAATTGTCTCAATTATTTAAATCATCTACAAAAACAAATATTTTTTGTGTTAAATATGTTAACAGAATGGATGGAGAAAAAAAAACAGCATGTGTTCAAATCAGAGGAAACATGTTCAATGTTTGGTCGAATGAAATCATACACTCTCTGTGTAAACACTTCGGAAGGGACTGAGGTTTCTGGATTGAAATCCGATACGCCAACATCTTGTGTGTGTGTGTGTGTTTACTACCATCGCGTTTAATAACGTGGAATGCCATAAAATTGAGGAAAAAAAAAAGAAAATATAAGACCTCAAACATTTATTCGTTATTATTAAAAGGTTCCAACAGAAAGAACAAAAAAAAGAACAAAATTATATAAAGATGAATTGAACACATGTGTTTTCATTTTTAATTGGATGTGAGTGCACATTTGTAACAAATAAAAACGGTATTAAAACTTTCATCAAATTATATTTGTTTTAATCAAGTTTACTAAAATGACTAATATAACTTAATTTTTAGCTTACATGATATCTTTTCAGTTTTGCTCTCCAATTTCATGAAATTACGTTTATTTAAAGTTGATTATTTTCTTATACGAAAAAATATCTTCTATCTAAATTAGTTATAAGCTTTTATATTATTTCTTCAGAATAGAAATCAGAAAATAATTGTACAAAATGTAACTTATTTTTTGTAAATATTTATAAATCGAGTTATCATTATTGAAAAGTGGTGAATGCGGTT